CGTAAATTTTGGAAAATTGACATTGATATGTCAGAGTATGAAATTAAAATGCATTGATTATGAAAAATGTGATATTTTACCATGAATGTTTTCGGGTATGAACTGCCCAATGTTAAATTTGATGATATACTTTGCCATGGATGAATCGAATGAAATAGATTATATGCCCAAGTAAGTCATTGAGGGACAGGGTATAGTTGGCATGCCATAGAGTATAGCAGCTGCAGGTTTATAATAGCATTATAGTGTGAAAGGTCACTAAGTGCGGTAAGGTGGATACGACCCAATGTATCATGTCCGGATTAGCACTATAGCGCTAGCTTAGTGTAGGTGGTGGGTACGATCTTATGTGTCATATCCGGATTAGCACTATGTCGTAAGCTTAGTGTAGGTTTAGCACTACGGTGCATGTATTTTACTCGAATACCCAGGGTCCTCGGGGTTTTATATTAGGCTATTGCCTATGAGTTATGGTTTATTAGTTAATAAATGGTAAGTATGCAAATAAGCTTACGAGCTTATGAATAATGGTAAGTATGTAAATAAGCTTACGAGCTTATGAATAATGGTAAGTATGTAAATAAGCTTACGAGCTTATGAATAATGGCAAGTATATTGATAAATTAAGCTTTTGAGCGTATGGAATTTAAATGGCAAGTGTGTTGATAAAATAAGCTTACGAGCTTATGGAATTTAAATGGTAAGTATTTTGGTAAAATAAGCTTACGATCTTATGGGATAAATGGTAAAATATTTTATATTATATTGATCATGGAAAAATATTGGATATGCAAATAAAATGATTTTATGGCATTTTCAATTTGACATTGAAAATCATGCATGAATTCTATTGCACTGTTTATTGTTTTAAATTGCCTCACTAAGTATATACTTAGCGTGTGATGATTTTCATGCGTAGGTAAAAAACCAGTAATTGAATAAAGAGTCCGAAATGACGTCAAGCATCGAGAGGTATATTTCAATATCAGTAAGATGCCCTATGATGGAATTTGATTTAAATAGTGGCATGTAATTTTATAAATGTTTAATTTGTTTTGTTAAAAAAATTTGTAAACAAAATGGAATTTTATTGAATTTATATGTATTTTCGAAAGTTACTGTAGTATGATTTAAGCAAAATTTTCCAGTATATAAATGGGGTACCGATTCCCCTTATAGGGAACCGATTCCCCCACTGTTCATCTTCATTGTTCACTATTCATAAAAAAATCTTTTGAATTAAATTCATTATAATGAAACATAATTTATATGATATGATATTTTTATAATATCAATTATCATTCTAACAAAATAAATTTTAAATCACTTATAAAGTGGAAATGGTTTTTTTTTAAATTCGAGTGACATCTATAATATGTATAGGTATAATTATACGGGTTATGGGTGTTACATTTATTGGTATCAGAGCTACAGGTTTAGCCGATTCTAAGACTAAATCGAGGTTGTTTTTAGTTAAAAAGTGTATACATGCCACTAGGATGTCAAAAGTTACTGATATTTGTATATATACTGTGATGATGTTTATAGGGAGTAAAGTTACTCTTTACTAAAGTATGATGATTCTGATTATGTTCAGATGTTGGAATTAAAGACAAAGGTTAAAAAGTTGAAAATGTTGAAAAGAAAGTCGAGATTAAAATCGACCAAAAAGGGACCGACATGACTAATGTAAAACACCTTAGAAGGGTGGAAGTTGTAAGGGATTTTTCTCCATTTTATGGAAGAAATGCTCAGTTTTTAACAAAGTTTCTGAGTGGGAAGAATCGATTAAAAAGTTTAAATGGAGTTACAAGAAAAGTCGAAGCGAATAAGGATTCAGAGGAGATTTTTGAATCTAGTGATGATTCTGAGGTTTCTCCAGGTAAGATTAAATAAGTGAGAAATATTTAAGCTAAGCATTAAATTGTTTAAATCATTATTGATTTGAGTAAGAGAAATAAGTAAGCGATAAATATGATTTTCGCTAAAAAGTTTACAGAAAATGGAGTTAATAATGAATCAAATGGTTATGAGTTGGATTGAGAATAGATATCAAGTCCATACAATTGGATAGAGTTACCTTGTGAAGGTAAATATGCGAAAATGAATTGTCTAACCTTCCTTGTTGCAATGAATTATTGTATAGATTGAGATGAATTCTCAAGAACTTGAAAAGTGTCAAGTTTGTAATGATAAGAAAAAAGAGTAAATTTGTTTAGTAGTGTGATTTTAGCATTAACTACTATGAAGTTATTGCTACAAAGTGTCAAATTTTTTTTATTGAATGATGTGGATATTTTGACTATCATTTGTAATGGAAAATGTTTCAACTGCTCAAGAATATTTCTTTGGATTTGGAAAAATTTTACAGATTTCCTTAAGAATGAAATAAGGAACTCCAATGTAGAAATATTCAATTCTACTTGATATCAAGTGATATTATAGCGGAAGACCCATAGGTCACGGTTATGATACAAGGGTTAGAATGACCAAAAGTAAATGTCCGATAAAGATTCAGAAGCTTATGTTAATGGTGAATCTTATGTGATTATCATTAACGAGTTGTAGATCATTTTGATCATGTGTTGGTTGTCTTTGAAGTAAGGTTGGGTTAATGGTCGCAAGAAGAGATTAATTTAGAAAAATGCAAAGAAATTAAATTTTTTAATGATTGATGAAAAAGTGAAATCGTCACTAAAATGATATCAACAATGGTTATGGTTAAGATGATGTCAAAAGGATGCATAGCTTTTGTAGCTAAGGTGATAGATACTTAAGTATCTGAAGTAAGATCATATGATATTTCCATACGTATTTTTAGATTTATTAATTGGGTTACCTCCAGATTTAGAGGTGGAATTTAATATTGATGGGTATCAAGGCATTAATCATGTATCTATGGATTCATATTGAATGATTGCGATTGAGTTAAGAGAATAAATAACAAATTGCAAGAATTGCTAAATCGAGGATGCATTAAACCAAGTATTTCATCTTGGGGTGAACCGGTGTTGTTTATAAAAAAAATGGATTTATGCGATTATGCATAAATTATTGATAGTTAAATAGAGTAACTATCAAGAACAAATATCCTATTTTGAGGATTTATGACTTGTTTGATCAGCTTAAAAAGGAGCAGCAATGTTCTCAAAAATTGATATTCGATTGGGATATCACCAGTTAAATATTAAAGTGGAAGATGTTCCAAAGATAGTTTTCAGAACACAATATAGACACTACGAGTTCGTAGTAAAGCCGTTTGGTTTGAAAAATGCTCAGGTAGCATTCATAGACTTGATGAATCAAGTATTTAAATTTTACTTGGATTAATTTGAGGTGGTTGTATTGATGACATTCGGGTATACTCGAATACAAAGATAGAGCATGATGTTTATCTTCGTATTGTACTTGAAATATTTAAGGATAAAAAGTTATATGCTAAACTATCATAGTGTGAGTTTTGGCTAACAAAAGTTGATTTTCTTAGTCATGTTGTCTCGGCATATGGCATAAGAGCTAAAACATATATATATATTATATAAGAAAAAAAAACAAAAATGAAGAAACAAAAAAAGAAAGAAGAAAAAGAAAAGAAAATAGAAAAAGAAAGAAAATGAAAAGAAAAAAAAACAGAAAATGAAAAGAAAAGAAAAAAATGAGAGATAAAATAATATATTTCACTTGTGAAAAATGCGAGACTAAAGACTTTGAAGTTAACTCTGATGGTTGGGTGTTTATTTCATCGAGGAAGAATTTGTATTCCTCATGATAATGAGTTAATGAAAGATATTCTTTCTGAAGCAAATTATAGTCCACTGACTATATATACAAGTGGGAACAAAATGTATCAGGATGTAAAAAGTCATTTTGGTGGCCAGGTATGAAAAAAAACATTATTCAGTTGTTGCTACATGTTTGACATGTTAACAAGTAAAAGTTGAGAATCAAGTGCTTTCGTAATTGTTGCAACTGATTTCTATTTCATAGTAGAAATAGTAAAGAGTCCACATCGACAACCATTAGCCATGTCATCATCCTGTTAGTGACTTAAAGATAGAGTGACATAATTGAATGTAAAACTAAAGTTTAATGCTATAATTGGCAACATTAAAAGGTCAATGGTATAAACAAGTCAGAGGACAAAGTTTAGTGGTATCAGAAGTAGTTTTCCCAAAATTAATAGTACTGTTGATGAGGTATTTTTTTTTTAATGTTGATTTGACATTATCTTATGGTGACATATCAATATTTATATTAATTTTTTAACAGCCGGCGATCAAAATGAAACCAAAACGTAAAGTCAGTGATGATTTTGAAAAGGCATAATACTAAAATTAGCTCTCAATGTTTATCAAAATGATCATTTTGACCCATATTCTTTTTTGGAGTATTTTGGCTCCCAACATTTTATTTTGGAGCAAAAATGTGCCTTCATGGATGAAAATCACTAGTTAACAAACGGTTAACACTCTAAAATATGAGATTTTTTACCCTAAAATGAGACGTTAGGGGGCTATAATGCTCTAGAATAAAATAATAACTATTAAAGTGACTATTTAATCAAATGTTATGAGCATTTTTACCATAAAATGAGACGTTAGTGGCCAAAAATACTCTAAAAAAAGAATATAGGCCAAAATCATAATTTTGATAATTGTTAGGAGTTAATTTTGGCATTATGCCTTTTGAAAAATAATAGTTGAGTGAAAAAAAATGAAAGTGATAGTTGGATGACTAAATTCATAGTTTACCCTTTATTAATCTATCCAAGAGAACATCTATGGGGTCATTTTTGTAACTTCCTATATCATCTCCCACATAAAAAGAAACAAAGAGAGTAAAAATTCAAAAAAGAGAAAAAGTACATTAGAGTTTGAAGCTGTGTGGTATGTTCTTTTTTTATTTATGTATGTTGTGGCCACTCTGGAGACATGAAATACCAACCTAAATGATTCCCTTTTTCTTTTTTGCTTCAACATCTAGTTTTCCTTTTTCTTGTTAAATCTTATAATTGGATTGTTGAAAAACAACGGAAATTCCAATTTTCTGTCACTTTATTTCTGATCTTTGATAGCTGAACAAGAGAAAAGAAAAGTTTATCCGTTATATTCAACATTACATTTCCTTCAAATGAATGCCTGCAAATTAGCTCCCATTTAGTGTTTTTCTCCAAGCTCTTCTCTTTGTCTTTCCTTGTTTGAAGCACCAGGTTTCTTCACATTAACATGTCTGCTAAATCCAAGTAAGTTCCCACTCACTAGCTTCCCATTCCTTGTTGATTTCTAGACTAGATCTGATTTGAGTTCTTTATTTCTTTTTTGGGCTCCTTGTTTTTGGGTGTTTTCTCTTTTCATTTACTTTTTTTTAACCTTAAATTCTGAAATTATGTTGATCTGCTCATTGATGGTTCTTAGAGCTTTTTTTAGTTAAATTTGTTCTTTGATTCTCTTTTGCAAATGGGTTTTACTTCATTTTTATGTGTTCATAATCCTGACATTGTTTTATGAGGGTGCTGTTCTTAGTTCCTTTACTTGTTGGGTTTATACATTATCATCTTAAGAATATATCTCTCAACTCCCAAATGTGTTGTATTAAAAAATAAATGTGCATTCGTTTATGAATTCAGGAGAATAATTTGATCTTTGCTAAATTATGTTGAAAAAGGGTTATAGATTCATGTTTAATTTTATTTTCACATAATTTTTGTTTATACTCTTTGCATTGTTTATCTAAAGTCATGGGACTTGGATCTTATGCTGAGAATATGACTCTTTTGAACATTTAAACAGGTCTGGTTTATCTGAAACTCCTAGCAAGGTTTCACCAGCAACACCTAAAGTGGCGAGTAAAGTAAGCAGGGGACTGACGAAATCAGAACCTGATTCACCCTCTCCCTTGCAGAGTACTCGCCATTCGATTGAGCGTTCGCCACGGTCATCCCTCAACTCGAAGCCTACGGTTGATAGGAGATCACCCAAGGTTGCCACCGCGCCTGAAGTAAGTTTTTAGCTGATGTCGTCAAATATCATTTTCTTTGATCTTTACATATTTTTGGGTATAAAAAACAATTTTCTGACTTGAGAAAAATTGAATGTTCGCAGATAATGTGTTGTATTTCAAGTAGTTTTCGGGAAATGACGTTTTATTTGAATTTTACGAGAGATAAAATGAGTTCAAAATCATTTGGAATTTCATTTTCATTATTTGTTGTTTTGATTTTCAGAAGCCACAAACAGGGGTTGGTAAGGGATCGGAATTGCAGGCTCAATTGAACTCGGTCCAGGAAGATTTAAAGAAAGCAAAGGAGCAGATAGCATTGATTGAGAAAGAGAAGGCACAAGTAATCGATGAGCTGAAAGAAGCGCACAAAGCAGTAGAAGAAGCAAATGAAAAGCTTAGAGAGGCTTTGGTTTCACAAAAGCGAGCTGAAGAGAGCTCTGAGATTGAGAAATTACGGGCTGTTAAGCTGGAACAGGCAGGAATTGAGGCTGCTCTGAAGAAAGACGAAGAATGGCAGAAAGAAATTGAATCCGTGAGGAACCAGCATGCTTTAGATGTGGCTGCTCTTCTGTCTACCACTCAGGAGCTTCAAAGGGTGAAGCAAGAACTAGCCATGACATGTGATGCTAAGAATCAAGCACTGAACCATGCTGATGATGCAGCCAAGATTACTGAAATCCATGCCGAGAAGGTGGAGATTCTTTTGGCTGAATTGGTTCGGTTGAAGTCTTTGATTGATTCAAAACTTGAAATAGAGGCCAATGAAAATATGGAAATGGTGTTCAAGCTTAAGGCTGAGATAGAGTCATTGAAACAAGAACTTGAGAAAGCAAAGGCCTATGAGGAGAAATTGATGGAAAAGGAGGCTTTGGTTGAAGAACTTAACGTTGAATTAGAAGCAGCGAGGATGGCCGAATCTTATGCACGGAATGTCATGGAGGAATGGAAAAATAGGGTTCACGAGTTAGAAATGCATATTGAAGAAGCAAAGAAGCTGGAAAGATCCGCATCAGAATCTCTGGATTCAGTCATGAAGCAATTAGAAAGCAACAACGATTCATTGCATGATGCAGAATCTGAAATTGCCGCTCTTAAAGAGAAGGTGGGATTATTGGAAATGACAATTGGTAGACAAAGAGGGGATCTTGAGGAATCAGAACATTGTATCAATATGGCTAAAGAAGAAACCGCAGAAGTGGCAAAACTGGTCGAGTCTCTGAAGTCTGAATTAGAAATAGCGAAGGAAGAAAAGACCCAAGCTTTGAATAATGAGAAGCTTGCAGCTTCCAGTGTTCAAACTCTTTTAGAAGAGAAAAACGAACTCATTAACGAGTTGGAAAATTCTAGGAACGAGGAAGAGAAGAGCAAGAAAGCAATGGAAAGCTTAGCTTCCGCCTTACATGAAGTTTCTGCAGAAGCTAGGGACACTAAGGAGAAGATGCTATCCAGTGAAAAAGAGCATGAAAATTACGAGACACAGTTGAAAGATATAAGGTTGGTCCATAAGGAAACGAATGAGAAGTATGAAACCATGCTTGATGATGCACAAAATGAGATTGATCTTCTTAAAAATAGCATTCAACAGTCCAAGAACAGACTCGATAATGCCAAAGCTATGTGGGAACAACAAGAAATGTATTTAGTAGATCGTGTAAAAAAATCAGAAGAAGAAAATTCTTCTCTGGAAAAGGAAATTAATAGGCTGGTAAATTTGCTGAGACAATCCGAGGAAGAGGCTTCTGCATCTAAGGAGGAAGAAGCTCAGTTGAAGGAGAGCCTAAAAGAAGTTGAATCTGAGGTGATTTATCTGCAAGAAACCCTGAAGGAGGTCAAGACCGAGAGCATGAAATTGAAGGAGGGTTTGTTGGACAAAGAAAATGAATTGCGGAGTGCCATTCAAGAAAACGAGGAACTCCGAGCTAGGGAAGCTGCTTCACTTAAGAAGGTCGAGGAGTTGTCTAAGTTGTTGGAAGAAGCTACTATCAAAAAGCAAAGCGAGGAAAATGGTGAGCCAACTGACCGTGAGAAGGACTATGATTTGCTTCCTAAGGTGGTTGAATTCTCGGAGGAAAATGGACATGGAAGTGAAGAGAAACTCAAGTTAGAGCTCCCATCAGAACAGCCCAAGGAGCCCAAAGAGGAGAATTTTCTTGAGGTCAATGATGGCTCAAAGGATGAAGCCCTTCAAGCTGATGGTGCCAAAGTGGAGAATGTGAACGGAAAAGTGAGGGAAGACGAGACAAAAGTAAAAGACGACAAATCAGTCGAAGTTGAATTCAAAATGTGGGAGAGCTGCAAAATCGAAAAGAAAGAGTTTTCACCAGAAAGAGAACCTGAGCAAGAATACCTTGAGGACGAAGTGGAGTCAAAGGTGGAGGGTAGTGAGAATTTTGATATAAACGGTTCAACAGAAAACGTTGATGATGGTGGAAACTCACCAACAAAGCAACAGCAACAGAAAAAGAAGAAACCGTTACTCATTAAATTTGGAAGTCTACTGAAGAAGAAGGGAAGCTGCAACCATAAGTAGATGAACCAAATCTGCCCCGGCGTGATTTAGACCTTCCAGCAGACAGGTATATTGATACTATCTTGCAGCTTAATGTATTTGCTTGATTTGTTTTGCTTCTAATGCTCTCAATAGGTTTAAATTTAAAAAGGCTTGTATAATGTTTAGTTTTTTTTCCTCTCTAAAATATTTAAAATTTGATTCTTGGTGATGGATACAGTCTTTGTATGTGATGGAGATGATTCTTTTTCTTTTCTTTTTAACTTGTTCTTCATATCTAAAATTAAGGGGAAAAAATGTGGTTACTTGTGTATCTCATTGTGCTTTCTTTATGTTTTAATCAACTGTTGTACATTCAGCATTGGTAAACTCTAGTTTTACATGAGCATGTTGGTGCTTTTGTTTTTTGTTCTTCAGTTCCTTTTTTTTTTTTGAAATGTTGATTTGATTCACTTTGAATGCCTTGTTTATGCTTACATGATATGTATTATTAGGGGTGTTTAAAATCAGATACCCGTATTTTCGAGTATTCAAAATATTGGGTATTTGGGATTTCGGGGTATCAAAATGTCAGCCTGTTAAGTTAGGGTACCCGTAAAACTCAGGTACCCATGTTTTCGGATCATGGGTACCTAGTTCATTTTTTTTACTTTTTTTAATTATATTAATTTTAAAAAATATCACATAAAAAAATCTATAATACATAATCCACCCATAAAATTTCAATTTTAAAATTATATAATTAAAAGAAAAAAACTTATTTAAAATAAAATTAAAAATATACTTAAATTAAAAATATTTTGAAGTTGAAAGAAATAATTTTGAGAATGAAATAATTTAAGAAATTAATAATTTAGAATGTTATGGTGAAATAATTTAAGAAATTAAGAAATTTATAATTTTATGGTGAAATGATTTGAGAATTAAGAAATAAAAATCTAATAAAAATAAAAAAAATAATAAATTGAGTATCGCGTCAGTGGGTACTCGGTTAAAGTATATTTGTTGACCAGGGTTCGACCCAAAAGCTCGAGTGAAATAGTGGGTCAGTTATTAGACTCGAAAAATTGGGGTTTTCATTATAAATATCTGATATTGTTTTACCCTGTCGACAGGTCAAGTATTTTTAAACATCCCTATGTATTACTCATAGTAACGAGTGTTCCAAATGGAAAAGGTATCCTTTGTTTATGTAAGCAATAGATAGAGGTCATCCATGATCAAGAAACAAAGGGTGTTGAAACAAGCCCCCCTTTTATAAAATTAAAAAAAATGACCTTAGTGAAAAAATATACTCCCTCCATCTCATTCAAAATTGTTTTTTATTGTTTTTTCTTTTATTAATTTTATTTAACTTTAATTCATTAGTATTAATTTTTTTTATTGTTGATAAAAATAAAAAATAAATAAAAACCTTCAATCTAGTAATTTTAAAATATATATTTTATAAAATTTAATTTTTAAAAATATTTAAAATAATTATAATCAAAGTTTAAAAATTCACTTTTAAAAAGTCAATAATTAAAAAATTTAATGAGACGAAGATAGTATTATTTCCCGGGCGGAGGTAAGATTGGGTCTACCTAGGCCATGCCCCCATGCTAACATAAATTATTTTTTATAATTTCATTAAATTTAAATTTAGTTATAATTCTATTTAATCAAAATTAAATTAATTAGAGTATATTTAAATTTAAATATAACTTTCTCTCCTCAATATCTTATAATAAGATAAAAAAATATAATTTTCTTAATTTTGATTTTAGTTATAATTCTTTTTAATCAAAATTAAATTAATTAGAGTCCTATTTAATTTTAAATTTAACTACAATTTTATTTCTTCAAAATCTTATAACTTATATAATGTGATGCTCTATCTTTCTTGTTTATTTATATTCATTTTGTACTTTTCAAATTCAAAAGAATTCTTTTTAAAACATGAAGGTAAACAAATATCTTAAATAAAATTTTAAATATTTGATGTTATTCTGCAGGTTTTTTATTACTTTTTTTTTTCTTACTTTTCATACTTTATTTTTAATTTTTTCTTTAGTTACTTATGAATTTGTGGTGTTATTAGCGTTTGTTTAGGAATTTTTTAACATCACCTACAGGATTATAATAAAAATTTAAAAGATACATATCATATTTTATTTTATTCAATCAAAATTATTCATTACTTCTTTTGCCTCGATCATAGATGATTTTGGTTCTATGAAAAAAAGAGTTTATCTTCATCGATGAAAATATTATATTTTGAACTATGCATTTTGTTAACATAAATTTTAAAGTTCTTTTAGAACATGTAATTATACTTGTTTTAGTTATTAAATTTTAAAATTGAAAAATTATATATATGAGAAATATTAGATAATTTTTTTTATGATGTCCATATTGATCCAGTCAATATTTTTTCTAGATTCATCACTGATTTTCACATTTTCTAGTGATTCAACTTTCTCTGCTAACCCTAGCCCACTAACAATGAAAAGATGGAGACAGATGATTATAGTTAGAGATGCCTATTTTTCTTTTTTGACATAAAGATAAAATTACTCCCAACGTTTGTATTTATTATCACTTTGATTCTTAATTTTATTTAAGTATATTAGCTTTTAACTTTTTTAATTTTTGATCAAAATAAAAGAAAATCATTAATCGAGTAATAATCTAAACATTCTGCCGACAAAATAAAATACTATAAAATCCATCTCACCCTATCACATTATCATCCCTAATCATACATGAAAAGTACCTGGGAATATAAAGTGGTTATGTTGAAATTACGAAGGTAAAAGCATGCCTATCTAATTAACTAGAGTTAATTCAAGTGATAAGTAGTTTGATATCGTTTAAGTAGGTCTCGAATTCAAAGCTTTGTATATGTAGAAAATTTTCGTTGGGAGACTCACCCACCAAAATGAGATGTACAATGCAGATCGATCCGGATTAGTCAGAACTAAACATTAAAATCGAGAAGGGAAAAAAAAGCATGCCTACCTAAGCTTCAACTACTTAATTTAATTTGATTTAAATATAGTTGGTGGTTCGTTGTCAACGACATGATTAATTCATTTAATCTAATTATCACCTTCTTCTATAAGCAAATTGCTTTATTTTTGCTGACAAATATATTTGATTGTTTTAAATTGTTTGTTTAAAGCAAATTTAAAATCGTAAATATTTATAGTTCAATTTAATACAACTTAATAAACTACATATTAATTGATTTTTAGTTTAATTAATACTGTTATTTTATTTATAGATAAATTAGTTATAAAACGACATAAAAATAAAAATATTTTGAATAAATATAGATAGATATGATGTAAAAATAAAATATTTATGATATAAATATCATAAGTGTATTAAAATTAATTATTAACATATTAAAATTAATCTAAATATATACTATTTTCTATCGGTTATAAAATTTAAAAGAATAAATAAAATATGAATTTTTTTTTTTTTAATCTAAAACCTCTCCAAAGGAGCAGGTCAGTTTGGGAATGCTTCTAGCAATAGAAAAATGATTTTCCACCACATAAACAATGCTAAACACTTAAAATTTGATTTAAAATCATGGTTGGAAAAGAATAATTTTAACCTAACCTCATAAGCTCAAATTTATAGCTTTGACCGTGAAAAACCAGTTTTGGGTGAAATTATATTTTTAACCTAAAATACTATATTTTCAATTTACAACATAACGTCTAAAATGTACATTTTATCTTTTTTAAAATCACTTTTCGACAACAATATCATATAATTAAATTTTAAATTGTAGTTTTCAAAAATACTTTTAAAAGTATCTTTTTATATCACTTTTAAAATTATTTTTCAAAAATAATACTAAACTGGCTCTTAGTGATATTTGAAATAAATAAATGAATAAAAGGTCAATTCATATTTTGTTTTAGTACGTTTCAAATATATTTAGATCTATTTGACTCTTAAAGCCGTTTAGTTTATATTTAAATTTGTAAACTGCCATATATTAATAATTTTAAAAAATTATTGATTTATATGTAACATCCTGGGTCAGTGGTTAAAATGTAAGAATTTTAAACTCGATGGTTGAATTATTATAAGTTGATAAATTCAATGATTTATGGTGGAATTTCTGTGTAAGGCTTGATGGGAATTTTGATATATTGGAGAGGGCAAAATGATCTTTTTCTTGATAAAGGATAATTATCTTCTATAATTAGGTGTTAAACATGTGGAATGTGTATTCTGAAAGCTTTTCCTTCTTTCTTTCATTTTTCTTCTTGCCGTGCACCTCTCAATACAAAGGTAAGATTCTGAAAGTTATAGTTTCCTTTAATTTTTGGTTTGATTATGGAAGTTGGGGTGTTGTATAAGCTTAAGGAAAGCTTATATAGTATTAAAACAACAAGATTAGTGTTTTAGAGATGAAATTGTAAAATGGGGTTGGAGATGAAATTTTGATTTGAAGTAGTTTTTGAAGTTTTAATGAGATATTTGACTTGTCAATGAGCTAATTAAAGGGTTAGGAGTATTAGAAATGATTAAGAGCTTGGTTGAAAACATGACATGATTCTTAAATGTAAGTGTTTTAGTGAGAATTTTGTATGTTTAAGAGTAGTAATTGATGACAAGTTGGTTGGAATGAAAGAAGTTTAGTTTAAAGGCTTTCAGAAGGATGATATAATAGATTTGAGAGGATTTGTGGGTGATTTTCAAAGTAAAAATGACAATTTTGGGCTTTGAGTATCGATACCATTATAACAATACTGATACTTCAAGGGTTAAATATGTGTATTTCTTAAGGGTAGTATCGATACCCGTTGAGGAGGGTATCGATACTGAGAGGGTAGTATTGATACCAGGGGGATGGTATCGATACTATTTTTAGGAAGCGATTGCAGAATGCTAATTCGGTATCGGTACCTTGAGGAGGTACGATACCCTTGAAGTGAGTATCGTACTGGAGAGGTAGTACCGATACTTCTAGGCATAAAATGGAAATTAATAGTTTATTGCATCACAAGTTATTCTGATTCGTTAGAATGATCCGAAGAACGATATTGATTTTCGAGTTATTTGATTCGTTAGAAATGATCCGAAGAACGATATTGATTTTCGATTGTTTTGTGTAGAGATTGATCGTAATCAACTTCCGGCAGCTCGACATATTAAGTATC